CTTTGGAATGGACCTTAGACACCATCTATTCCAGTATTTTCATTTTATAAATAAGGAAAGCAGTCTCAGGCCTTCTTTACTCCATATTGAGTTTTCCATCCATTGTACCATGCTGCCTTCTATGATTCTATGATTCTAGAGTATAGTCCACAGTGCTTCTTAAACTGTGGGTCACAACTCCACATGGGGTTGCAAAAAATTTGCAGTAAAAGATTTCTGAACATGCAATGACCAAAAATTAATTAAAAATCAAATGTGTAATAAATCCAAGGTGTTTCTGGCAGTGCTTGCCCTTGTTACATTGGGCAACTTCACTGCAGCCTTGGTACTGAACACAAAGCAAGTGAACCTTGCAATGTGCATGCCATTAAGCCATGCAAAGTTAAAGAACACAGCCAAAATGGGGTAGTGAGTGGAAAAAGTTTAAGAAGCCCTGGATAGACTATCCATGCCTAGAGAACATTTACAAAGTATCTGTTCCCTAGATTTTATAACAGCAGATTTTTTTTTGTTTTCCAAAATGTTTTCAAAAATGTTATCTAATTGCGTGTTTACTGCAACCCATGTGGTAAATACAGAAAGTATTCGCCACATTTTACATGAGGAAATTGAGACAGGTGCAGTAAATATATTAGCAAAACTACCCTGATAGAAACATACTTCAACTTACTTTCCATACAGAAATCTTCAAGAATGTAAGATCTTTTGACTATGGTAGTAGTGTATGTTATCACTTTGAACACAGAAACTCTGTAGTATACATACATTTTTTCCTAACAATAGAGATCTATACCTAATTGATGAGAATTTAGTCCATATGTAATACATGTATGCATGTATATCTATCTCTATTTCCATAATATATTTCCATTATGTTTAACATGTATCTATATTATATGTACATTTTATATAAAAGCTATCTAGCTATATAATAGAGAGCTAGATAGACAGATAGATAGTTAATACACATATTTTGTGTATATATCATGGACATACAATGAGCAATAAATAAGGCTAACAATAACAATAGGATATTAAAGTTTATAAAGTACTTTCCACACAGTGACCCTTGGGATAAGGAAGGCTATGCATTATTTTCCTTATTTGACAAATGAAGAAACTGAGCATCCAAGAAATTAACTTTTTTCTCTTAATCAGACAGCAAGTTAAAGTTGAAACCAGGATTCTAACTCAGGTTCCCGCTAATTCCAAACCCCCAAACAACCATCACCATACACACATATAGTCATACAATAAAATAAATATGTAATATTGTTAAATATACATATATATAGTTAATATTTTACTCAGTGCTTTTTAACATTTCCCACAATTCAAAAGATGTCTTTTTATTACCATTGTTTTTATCTTTTTTACTTCTATTGTCATTCTTTTTATTAAAAGCAAAATAATAGATCACACTCAGATACTATATCAATCAGATTTTCATTTTTATAAGAAGTTTAGTCAGTATCTATACTACTTTATACAAATATGGGATCCATTGAACCATGATTTTTTTTATTCCATTTTACAAATGGTTATTAAGCATGAACTATATGTTTAATAATGGTATTGTAGGTAAGAGAAATACAAAAGTAATAGTCTCCCATTTCAATGAACTTACATTTTACTTAAAGGTGAGTTCAGGGATATAATGAATGCCTTGGCAAATAAATGTGATAGATTTTGAGCAGGGGAAGAGGTCTAATAAGTGTGTGTTTGGGGGTGGATGTTGCTATAAGGGAAGTGTTTAAATTTCAAATTGGCACCTGAATTTAAATTTGAGGAAAAGATTGTAGGAGGTGTAGGTGAGGAAGAGGTGAATTCCCAGTATTGAGTGGAGAGACAAAAACGGACAGAGAGAATAACTTAGAATGATGGTGAGATTGCAAACCTGAGTCATTTGAAAAATTGTGGTGCTTTAACCAAACATATGGAAGTTTAGAAGAGTGAATTTAGGAAGGGAAAATAATTAGTTCTCTTGTGGCTGTATTGGGTTTGACACGCAATATTGAAACTTAGAGTCAAATCTATACAACTGCTATCGTAGGGAGATTTTCCTTCCCCCACCTATGCACGTCAGATGAGATGTCATGTATTAAATGATCTCCTCTCAGCTTATTTCTGAGTTTTTGTGATCTTATAATAAATATAAAGTCATTTAAGTGGGCCTTTAAAATTTGGTTTCTTTTGTTTCTCTCTTTTTAGTTCCTTAACATGGATTTTATCATCCTCCCCTATGCCCTGTGTTTTACTCATTAAATTTACTAGGTATCAATACCAAAATAATAATAGCAGTAATAGCATCTATGTGGTGTTTTAGGTTTACAAATTACACATTTTAACTTATTTAATCTGACATTCTTGACAATCTCTTTATGTAATTCCTCTATTTCCTCCTGTGTCTTAGCACATAAGCTACAAATATCTACATTATGGTATTTTTGTTACATTTTTCACGAGCATTAAAAATCAATGTCAATCCAGCAGGTATCGTTAATGAATTACTGCTTTTGAGAACCTGAGTGTATTCCTCAATCTCTTTGGTTCTCAGATTTCTTTAACTATAGTAGTTAAAACACACATCTCTATAACATTTAAATATTTGTAAAATGCTTTCTTGATAACTTGGTGAACTAAATAGAAAGCATAATTATTATAGTCCTAATTTTATAAGTGAGGAAACTGAGGTTCTTAGTGCTATAGTGACTTCCTCAGGGGCATACAATTGGTAAATTTCAGAGATGGCACTAAAACCTCATTCTCCCTAGTCCAAATCCAGTATTCTTACCACTGTGACCAACTGCCACTGTAAAATGATATACTTCTGTGATTCTATGATCCTGTGATTTCTAGTTTCTTGTATTTGTAGTGTATGTTAACTCAAGAGGCTTTATTCTTACTGAGATCTATGAAGTATAGACTTGTTTGAAAAGTTTCTGGAAAATGAGATTGAGTAGAGGAAAAGATGGATTTAGATGGTGTGTGACTTTGCTATTTTGCTTCTTGGTTTTCTTGTTTAAATTTCAGGGTACATTTAGAAAATTATACATCTCTACTTCCCAATTCTGCCCTATTTTCCAACCTTTCCAATGTCTGCATTTTCCTATTAATTGATCAAATTAAAAAAATATATGCCTACTATGAGTCAGGGGCAGATAGGTAGCTCAGCGGGCCTGGATTCAGGAAGATTCACCTTTGTCATTTCAAATCTGGCCTCAGACACTTACTAGCATTATTGCCCTGGGCAATTGACTTAACCTCGTCTGCTGCCATATCATCATCAGTAAAATTAGCTGGGCAAGGAAATGGCAAACCACTCCAGTGTCTCCGCCAAGAAAACCCCACATACCATCATGAAGATTTGGACATGACCAAAAAATAACTGAACAACAACAAGAACACCACTAAATGTCAGACACTATGCTAGGCCCTTGGGATATAGAGACATTAATGAAACAGTCCTTGCCTCTCAAGAAGCATATTTTTTTAGAAGGAAACAGCATGTACACATGCAAGTTTATGTGAAATAAGCACAGACTTAAAAGGAAGAGGAAGTGGTACCTTGGGAGAATCAAGAAATGCCACATGTATGAGGTAGTGTTTGAGTTGAACTTTGAAGGAAACTAGGGATTTTAAGAGATGGAGGTAAGGAGGGAACAAAGTCTATGTATGAGGGGCAGCCTATGAAAAGGCATGGAGAGAAGAAATATGAGTCATTTGTGAGCAAAAAAATATAGTCTGTCTGAATTAAAGAGTACCTGGATATGACTAATGTACAATAAAGCTGAACAAGTAAGGTGGAACTACATTGTGAAGGAATGCAAAACAAAGGAATTCATTTTCTTCTAGAAGTAATAATTACTAAATATCCTTGACCTCAAGAGTAACATGGTTAGAATTTAGGAGTAACACTTCGGCAGCTGGGCAGAGACTGTATTGATCAGGGAGCAGAGTAGAAGGAAAGGGATCATTTAGGAAGCTATTGCGGTAATCTCAAGGAAGTTGATGAGGGCTTCAAGTAGAATGATGACCTTGTGAGTAAAGAAAAAGGCTGGGTATAAGAAATGATGTGGAAGGGGCAGGTAGGTGGCGCAGTGGATAGAGCACCAGCCTTGGATTCAGGAGGACCTAAGTTCAAATCCAGCTTCAGATATATAACACTTACTAGATTTTGACCCTGGGCAAGTCACTTAACCCCATTGCCTATCCTAAAAAAAAAAAAATGGAAGTAGAAGTGATGAGAATTGACAATTGTTTGAATAGGAAGGATGAGTTTGAGTGAGATACCCAGCTTCCCTCTGACATTCTGATGTTAGTGGGCCAGAATTATTGTGATGCCCTTAAAGGGATGGAGAAATTTCGGAGAGCAAACTCTGAGAGAAAGGTAATGAGTCCTGTTGGATATGTTGAGTTTGTTCAGTGTGAGGTGCTTAAGCAACATCCTATTCAAAATGTCCAATGGGAAGTTTGTGACACACTGAAACTCAGGAGAGATTGATGAATACAGGGGTTTGGGAAGCATTGATATGCTTTGTGTGTGATTAAGTGCTATTGTGTCTGATTGAGATGCTCATTGAACCAATGGGAGATGAAAAGGTTACTAAGAAAGAAAGGGTGAAGACAGAAGAAAAGAGGACCTATAATAAAACTTTGGGAATACCAGCAAAAGAGGTTGAGGGGAAAAAATGGTCTGACTAAGAGTAGGAGAATGAAAACTGAATTGATATTGTTTTTAATTTTGAGAAGAGAATTATTCAGTTGATTTTCAACTATTCCATTTGGGAACAAGGCTAGAGGAAGAGGACACATCTCTCATCATCATCATATTCTTTTTCTTTTTCCTCTTTATCTTTCATCATCATATCATAGTTATAAGACCTTTAGACAATTTCATAAAAATAACAACTTGAGGTAGACACTACTAGTGTTATTACTCCCATTTCATAAGTGAAGACGTTAAAACTCAGAATAAATGACAGCTCAGAATCACCTACCTGTGAGAATCAGAGCCAACATTTAAGAGTAGGTTTCCTTGTATCAAAATAAACATTTCTTCTTTTCTTTAAACCAGGGATGAGTAACCTGTGGCTCAAGGCCACATGTGGCCCTCTAGGTCCTCAAGTGCGGCCCTTTGACTGAATCCAAACATCACAGAACAAACCCACTTAATAAAAGGATTTGTTCTATAGAACTTGGAATGAGTCAAAAAGACCTAGAAGGCCACAGGTTCCCCACCTCTGCCCTGAATGAGATTGACTCTCATATATCTTTCGTAGAACAAAAGAAGGAAATCAAAGGAAAAGATAAAATAAAAAGAGGTAGGAAAGGGACAAGATCAATATTCAGCACTAAAGGATTCACTATGCCCCTAATTTCTAGAATGGAACTGGATCCTTTGTGAATTAGGAGATATCTCTGTATGTGTTTATAAAAGTGTGTATATGTTTATATATATATGTGTGTGTATATGTATATATGTATACACATACATATATACATATACACACACATACACACATGTATATATATACACATGCATATGTATGCATATAAATATATACTTACATAGATGTGCCTATGTATATATGTGTATATATATACATATAATATATGCACATATACACACCTCTGTACATACACATGTATGTATAGGAGTGTGTTATGTGTGAGTGTGGCTTAAATAAATATTTATTTACAGAAACATCTCTCTTTCATATAAACGAAAAGTAATATACATTTGTCTTTGTACATACAAACTACATAATTGCACATGTGTCTTATAGATGGGGCTTATCCATTCCTGATTTAGCTTGTTAACTCTATAGGTAACACTTCTTAAATATAGGTATTCATTACTTTATTCATTCAACAGCTAAATTCCTGCAGAGTTGGCTATAAAGCAAGTTTTAGTAAAGGGAACTATATTTCCCCATAGACTTCCATTATCTTCTGCGAAATAAATATGTTACCTTGAAAGGATTCCTCAACAGACAGAGATGAGAATGTGCTTAAGGCTTTTTTGCAACTTGGCTTGGTGTCTGTTAAGTGCAAGGATGAAAAAAAAAGAACAGGGTGTGAACATCAAGTGGTAACCAGATGCCCTGTCAAAACAGAGTAGGTGTTGTTGCAATAACAGGAAGATGAATTCAAAATACAAATCAATTACCATTATTATATACTGGGGAATGTTAGTGACAGCTGGACTTCAAGACAAGGGATATATGGGTCAATGGCTAACGGTGCAAAAGGCCAGGATTTAGGGTCTTAGTCTTAAATTATAGTAGGCTGTGAAGGACAGGCCACAGAACAGAAAGCATGAGATGAGTTGTCTTTTGAGAATTTACAGTAAAACTCACAGAATAAAATACTCAGAATCACCCACCTGTGAGTGTCAGAGCCAAGATTCAAGGTTAGGTTTCCTTATATGAAGACAAATACTTTCCCATCCCCTCAAAGCATAATATCTCCCATAAGACCCTCCTAGGACAAAAGAAGGAAACAGAAGGAAAAGATATTTGCTAACAATTGATACCCTAACACAGGATGAAGTAAAAATGGGGAGCAAAAGGACAAGATCAGTGTTCTACCTTGCTCTATGACCTATGAGTATGTCCATTTACCACTCTAACTCTGGTCCTTTTAAGGGCACTGTGAATCCCTGCATTCTAAGATATCTCTACTTTGGACAAAATTCATCCTCTGCTTTGGTTTCCTTCTTATTCTTTTATTTCCCAGGAAATGACATTGAAAGACAGTTTGGCATATTGGAAAAAGTAATGAATTTCCAAGGAAAATCAAGATTTAAATCCTGACTCCAATACCTGTTACTGCTATGAAGTTGGCTTATTCTCAGTTCTTGTAGACTTCACCTGGAGAGGGAATAGTGTCAGATAAGTAATCATGTTAAGATTCTCATTCTTTCTCAACAATAATCAGTCAACAAGCATTTTTAAGCCTTTACTGTGTACCAAGTACTAGTAAAGAAACATTTATTATTTACCATGTGCAGGCACTATGCTGAACTCTGGAAGACACATACAAGGAGAAAGAAAGGCAGTACCAGCCCTCAAAGAACTTCTAATGAGGGAAGACAATACATAAAAGGAAGCTAAAAGGATTTGAGGAGGTGGTAAATAAAGCCAGTAGGACAGTTTAGAGGGGAAAACATGCCTTACCTAGACTACTGCAGTAGTATGATGTCTTTCCCTATCTTACCACCCTTTTCTCTGATATATCCTTCAGAAAATTACTAAGTTAATCTTTCTAAACCATAATTCTGACCACGTCACTCCCCTGGTCAAGGATCTTTAAAGGGTATTTATTGACTCTAGGATAAAATCCTTCTGCTTCTGCTTGCATTTGAAATCCTTCTACATTCAGCCTATCTTCCTAGGCATATCTTTCACTTTAGTCCACTTCATATACTCTATGTTCTTGATAGAATAGATAGGAACTTGCTGTTTTCAGAACCTGACATTCTTTTTCTAACCCCCTATGTCTTTATGCAAGCTGTCTACCATTCTTAGAATGACCTCTTTTTCTACCTACCTTGCTTAGAATCTATAGCTTCCTTCAAGACTCAACAGCTATGGTGTCAGCTACTATTAAAAACTAAACAAATAAAAAAATCTGCCCCGATTCCCCTACGTGTTAGTGTTTTCTCTCTCCTCAAATAATCTTCTAGTCACGTATGTGAGTACATGTTGTACCTGTTCCCTTCCTACCTGGAACCAGTGGAACGTAAACTCTTTTGGGACACGGAATTTTGACCATAGCGGGCAATTAATTATTAATGAATTGTTAAAATGAATTGGACCCTAAGGTCTATTTAAGTAGAAATCCTATGATTTTAGGATGACTAGTCCTAGTCTATTGTTTAAGGAAACTTCTGATGTACTTTTCTGAACCTAAAATCTCTCTTCTTTTGTCATTTCCCCCCCTCTAACTGAAAAACAAATGAGAAATTTTTCCCTTTCTCAGAAACCCCATGGATTCACACTTGTAGTTCTTAGAATTTATCTGTGACTATATTAGAGTTGGAATGAATGACCTCCCTCCCTGAGTGTGTTGATACTTCCAAAGAACAAGATCTATTCCTGCTTAAAAAGCCATAAAACTTCACACACTAAAATGAAATCAGTACTTTACTTCATCAATAGGTCTGAAATTCTGTAAAATAATTTCCCATAAGATGAAGGATGCCTACATAAGGAATCATTCCTCTGATTGTTTAAATATAACCTTGGATTAGCTCACTTCTAGAAAGGGCAGCCCCCTGTTTAGGGGGAGAAAGACATGTATGCAAGTGCGGGTGGAACTTTGACTTCCAAACCGAGTTTCTTTGCCAGTTCTTTTATGAAAATGTACCATTGTAAAGGAATGTGCTGTTCCATCCCATCTGTTCTGTCTTCAGGGCTTTGGAGGAGGGCTTCCAGCTGATAAATGTCACTGGATTACTTTTATGTAAATAATGAAAACACCATGGAATGAACTGTTGTAGATGCATACTTCACCCCTAAAAAACTGCTCCTGGCTACTTGGCAGGTGAGCTCTGACAACTAGTTTCAATTTCCTAGGAGAACAGTAGGACAGGAAAGGTGAGAAAGATTTTGCAGAAATGACAAAACCTGAGGGGCAGTCAGGGCAGAGCATAGGAAAAGGAGGGAGGTAGGGGACACTAGGGAGAGAATAATCTAATACCAATCAGATGTGCCCTTGGTCCCTCAGCTCTTTCAAGGTCTAACCCTGCTGTGCTCTCTGTCTTTCTCTGCTCTCTTCTCATTGTAACAGCAAGTTCTTGATTTTAATGTTACTGACCTAATCATTCTGAAAGAGAGTGCCCTAACTCTTTTGGCAACCAAAGCACATCAAATTGATGTTGATTTTCCACTATTTAATTTTTGGTAATATAATATGAGTCCCTATTAGGAACCTTGTAGAAACAACTCATCTGTAAATCTTGAGTTCAACTTACTCCTCCACTTGTCCTTCGCGGTTTCACCTCAGTTACCCCTCCAGTAGAAATGTCAAGATTGTCTCCCTTAGCCCTAACATGTATCCCCAGTCTCCCATAACCCTTAATTGATAATAAGAAGGGAAACATCCTTAGTATTTTCTTGACAGATTGCTAAGGTTCGCTCATTTTCACATTATTGGAATCCTCTTTTTTAACCTGCTCCTTCCTAAATACCAAATTATATCCTGAGATAGACAAACTACTTATCCCCTGTGTTGATTTAAAAATAAAATGAGAGAGAGCGAGGAGGAAGCGGAGGAAGAGAGAGACAGGGACAGAGATAGAGACAGGGAAGAGACAGAGAGAGATAGAGAAAGAGAGAGACAGAGAAGAGGGAGGGAAGAAAGGAAGAATGAAAGGAAGTAAAGAAGGAAGGGAAGAAGGGAGAAAGGAGGGAGGAAGGAAGAAAAGAGGAAAGGAAGGAACAAGGGAAGAGAACCAAAGGTATCTATTTTGTTATTGCAAGTCACAAAAACGTAGTTGAACAAATAGCACACTGCCCTGGGCTATAATTTACTTCATATATGTCAACCTTTTAGTTTCAAATAGTCATGGGATACTTAGCTATTAGCATGCTGTCCCAGTCACTTTGGTGATGGTTCCCCAGCTTGCCTGCAGACTGTTCTCTGAAGAGACTTGAAAGAAAGTAATGATAGAAGCTAATGGATACACCTTAAAATATGATATGCCTGGCAAAACAAAACCTAAAATAGAGAGAATCTCCAGAACACAAAGAAAGTGAGTGTATTGAGGCTTGTTTTCAATTATTGCGTTACAAGGCTTTCATTCCTTTGGAAGGACCTATTATTTTGCCACATAATGCAAAGTCACAGCAGGTACCGAGAGTGGTGGGTTGCTTGGAACTGCATCTCAGCCAAACTCCAGAGCTTATTTAGACCAGCCAGGCTCTGTGTGTACTCTGAAACAAAGTCAACAGTTGCTGTATCATCACTTCAAATCCTTTGTTGGAACTTATTGTTAAGATCATGACATTCATTACTTAGGACTAAACCTTTCATTACACAGTCTATCAAAGTCCTCAAGTAATACACTAGTTGAAAAAGAACAAGCAGAATTAACTTCCAATTGAGAACTCTTGAAT